GATCTCCATGTATAATACATAAGGGGGGATATGATCTCCATGTATAATACATAAGGGGGGGATATGATCTCCATGTATAATACATAAGAGGGGATATGATCTCCATGTAATATACATAAGGGGGGATATGATCTCCCAGTATAATACATAAGGGGGGGATATGATCTCCATATATAATACATAAGGGGGGATATGATCTCCATGTATAATACATAAGGGGGATATGATCTCCATGTATAATACATAAGGGGGGATATGATCTCCATGTATAATACATAAGGGGGGATATGATCGACATGTATAATACATAAGGGGGAGATATGATCTCCATGTATAATACATAAGGGGGGATATGATCACATGTATAATACATAAGGGGGGATATGATCTCCATGTATAATACATAAGGGGGGATATGATCTCCATGTATAATACATAAGAGGGGATATGATCTCCATGTATAATACATAAGGGGGGATATGATCTCCATGTATAATACATAAGGGGGGATATGATCTCCATGTATAATACATAAGGGGGGATATGATCACCATGTATAATACATAAGGGGGGGATATGATCTCCATGTATAATACATAAGGGGGGATATGATCTCCATGTATAATACATAAGGGGGGGATATGATCACCATGTATAATACATAAGGGGGGATATGATCACCATGTATAATACATAAGGGGGGATATGATCTCCATGTATAATACATAAGGGGGATACGATCTCCATGTATAATACATAAGGGGGGATATGATCACCATGTATAATACATAAGGGGGGGTATGATCTCCATGTATAATACATAAGGGGGGGATATGATCTCCATGTATAATACATAAGGGGGGATATGATCTCCATGTATAATACATAAGGGGGGATATGATCACATTGTATAATACATAAGGGGGGGGGCATGGTCACATTGTATAATACATAAGGGGGAATATGATCTCCATGTATAATACATAAGAGGGGATATGAGCTCCATGTATAATACATAAGGGGGGATATGATCTCCATGTATAATACATAAGGGGGGGATATGATCTCCATGTATAATACATAAGGGGGGGATATGATCTCCATGTATAATACATAAAGGGGGGGATATGATCTCCATGTATAATACATAAGGGGGGATATGATCACCATGTATAATACATAATGGGGGATATGATCTCCATGTATAATACATAAGGGGGGGATATAATCTCCATGTATAATACATAAGGGGGATATGATCTCCATGTATAATACATAAGGGGGATATGATCTCCATGTATAATACATAAGGGGGGTATGATCTCAATGTATAATACATAAGGGGGGGATATGATCTCAATGTATAATACATAAGGGGGGATATGATCACATGTAGAATACATAAGGGGGGATATGATCTCCATGTAGAATACATAAGGGGGGATATGATCTCCATGTAGAAAACATAAGGGGGGATATGATCACCATGTATAATACATAAGGGGGGATATGATCTCCATATATAATACATAAGGGGGGTATGATCACCATGTATAATACATAGGGGGGGATATGATCACCATATATAATACATAAGGGGGGATATGATCTCCATGTAGAATACATAAGGGGGGATATGATCTCCATGTATAATACATAAGGGGGGATATGATCTCCATGTATAATACATAAGGGGGGATATGATCACCATGTATAATACATAAGGGGGGATATGATCTCCATGTATAATACATAAGGGGGGATATGATCTCCATGTATAATACATAAGGGGGATATGATCTCCATGTATAATACATAAGGGGGGATATGATCACCATGTATAATATACATAAGCGGGGATATGATCTCCATGTATAATACACAAGGGGGGGATATGATCACCATGTATAATACATAAGGGGGGATATGATCTCCATGTATAATACATAAGGGGGGATATGATCATACATAAGGGGGGATATGATCTCCATGTATAAATACATAAGGGGGGATATGATCTCCATGTATAATACATCAGTGGCTCATATAGTGAACTCGGTGTAGAGTTATTCACCCTGAGGACATCACAGAGGACAAGGGGGCACTCTTTACATCTGGAGGAAAGGCGAATTAATCTCCAAACACAGAAAGGTTTCTTCACAGTGAGAGCTGTGAAAATGTGGAATAGACTCCCTCAAGAGTTGGTTCTGGCCAGCTCAGTGGATTGCTGTAGGAAAGTCCTGGATTCTTTCTTGGATACACAGAATATAACTGGATACTAACATTTATAGGTAAAGTTGATCCAGGGAATATCAGATTGCCTCTCGGAGGATCAGGAAGGAATTTTTTTCCCCTGCAGGAGCAAATTGGATCGTGCTTTGCTGGAGTTTTTTTTGCCTTTCTCTAGATCAACTGTGGGTATTATTATTATTATACAGTATTTATAAAGCGCCGATAGTTCGCTCAGCGCTGTACATTACAATGGGGGACAGAACATGTGACAGAACAATAACAATACAATGCAAAACATGAAGGGCTTGAGGGCCCTGCTCTTTCGAGCTCGCAATCTAGGAGATAGGATAACTTTTTTTTTTTTTTGGTTGAACTGGATGGACTTTTGTTGTTTTTCAGCCAGACTAACTATGTATGCAATACTTGTGTTAGCTGCGTAAATTGATGGCGCTGTATAAGTACCTGTAATAAATAAAAAGAATCTGTAAATTAAATTTATGGAGGCTGCCAATGTTGACCTCCTTGCCTAGATGTCTCTGGCTTCAGTACTTTTTTTAGACCCTAAGCAGAAACTATTTTTCTCTTTTTTTTAATGGTTGAACTGGATGGACTTTTGTCGTTTTTCAGCCAGACTAACTATGTAACTATATATGCAATACTTGTGTTAGCATCTACAGCCTGGCCAGTCCACTCAACCTTTTTGTTTATTGCATAGCAAAACATGCTAAAAGATATGGTATGCAGAGGGAAAACTCATCTTGCAGAGTTTCCAAGGAACTTAGGAAGGTTTGCAGATTCTTACCTGCTTCTATTATGTGAATACTAACAAATTCCATTGCAGTAATCTCCTCAGACTGAAAGAAATGGGAGTGCCTAAAGGGTAATACCACTTTCATGTGGGAAAAAATATCAAAAAAAAAAAATAATATACAGTTGAATGTTATTAAAAATTACATTTCCCTTTCAATCTGCAGCGCTGACATTTTCTGTAAAATGCAATCCAATATGGCTACCTGGAGGCGTTCTGTACACTGATGGTGTATGGAGCCCCCCCTTCTCCCAGATGTCATTTCCTACTTGTGTGATTGGCTTACAGATTCTCCCAGAAATCTGCACTAAGATACAAGTCAGATTCTGAGCATCCCCTACAACAAAAATGTCATTTTTGGTGAGATAAGTCCAAAAGGAAATCACGCCTTAAGGGATGCAGACCCTGCCAATTTCTTCCTTAGAACACTGCAGCTGATTGATAATTGTAAACCCACTCCCATACAGATTCATTCTGCACATGGACACACACAGCTATTCCTCCAGAACAACAGATGGTAGGAATCTGCAACAAACTTTGTTAGAATCACTGCAATGTACACAGATTATTATTATACAGGATTTATATAGAGCCAACAGTTTGCGCAGCACTTTACAATATAAGGGAGACAGTACAATTACAATACATTTCAGTACAGAAGGAATAGGAGGGCCCAGCTTGTGGAGCTTACAATCTAAAGGAAGGGGGGGGGGGTGATACAAAAGGTGATAGCTGCGGGGGATGATCTGGCGGAGGTGATTCAAGTACAGTTCTTAGGTGGAGTAGGCTTCCCTGAAGAAGTGAGTTTTCAAAGATCGCCTAAACGCAGACATGGTGGGGGCTGACCGGACATGCTGTGGTAGGGGGTTCCAGAGGGTGGGAGAGGCTCTGGAGAAGTCCTGGAGGCAAACGTGGGAGGAGGTGATGAGGGAGCTGGAGAGGAAGATATCATGGGAGGAGCGGAGTGGGTGATTTGGGCAGGATCTGTGGATGAGGTTGGTGATGTAGCTAGTGGCAGTGTTGTGGATGGCTTTGTAAGCTGTTGTTAGTATTTTGAATTTTATACGTTGGGTTAGTGGAAGCCAGTGGAGGGATTGGCAGAGAGGGGCAGCAGTCGCTGATCGGTTGGTAAGGTGTAGGAGTCTAGCAGCAGCATTCATAATAGACTGAAGGGCAGATAACCTGTGTAACAGTAGACAAGGGAAAAGGTTGCAGTATTCGAGGCGGGATATAACCAAGGCGTGGATAAGTTGTTTTGTGGTGTCATTGGTCAGGAAGGGCGGATTTTGGAAATGTTCCGGAGGTTGAGGTGGCAGGATTTAGCCAGTGAGTGGATGTGGGACCCAAAGGAGAGGTCAGAGTCTAGGATTACACCGAGCACCCTGGCATGAGGGGAAGGACCAATGGTTGTGCTGTTGATCTTAGTGGTAAAGTTGTGAGTGGGTGATCGGGGAGGAGGAAATATTACAAGTACAGATCACCCAATGGGAATTTTTTTTTTATTTAACAAAAAAGTGAGTTACACTTTAATGGGAGCACCTTGATGCTATGATACCATATCCAATTCCACTGTAATTCCAGAACCGCCAACAGCTGGTAACGAGAGCAATGAATGAGATTTTTTTTTTTTGGGGGGGGGGGGGGGGTATCTTAGGTGTGTACAAAACTTCTAACATTGCCAAAATAGTATTTTTTTTTGTTTGTCACAGCTGCCTGCAGATTGAATTGGAAAATAAAGGACGTTAGATTTAAAAAAAAAAAAAAAAAAAAAATATATGTATAAAACTTTTTTTTTGTTCTCTTGGCATTTATAAATTTATATTTGGTTTTTAAACAAAACTTGATAACACCGGGGGGGGGGGACATTGGTGTTCCTTTTTGTCACCGTTCTTTGTAATAGCATCAGTTCTTCTCTTCTAGTGTATTCCCTTGCTGGCTTTGCCCCTTACTATCGGTCACCATGGATGAGATGGACGCGCCGCAGATGAAGAAGGAGGTGGAGAGTCTAAAGTATCAGCTGGCTTACAAACGAGAGATGTCTTCCAAGTCTATACCCGAGTGAGTATGGCAGGGGACCAAACAGTCCATCCTGATTGCCCATCTACCTTTGGACAGATCACAAGGGAAGATATGTGAATCTATAGTAGTTGCATGTTCTGCTACAGTTATTATACAGGATTTATATGGCGCCGACAATTATTATTATTATACAGGATTTATATGGCGCCAACAATTACTATTATTATTATACAGGATTTATATAGCGCCGACAATTATTATTATTATTATACAGGATTTATATGGCGCCACAATTATTATTATTATTATACAGGATTTATATATAGCCAACAATTATATATTATTATACAGGATTTATATAGCGCCAACTGTTATTATTATTATTATACAGGATTTATATAGCGCCAACAATTATTATTATTATTATTATACAGGATTTATATAGCGCCAACAATTATTATTATTATTATACAGGATTTATATAGCGCCAACAATTATTATTATTATACAGGATTTATATAGCGCCGACAATTATTATTATTATTATTATTATACAGGATTTATATAGCGCCAACAATTATTATTATTATTGTACAGGATTTCTATAGCTCCATCAATTGTTGTTATTATACAGGATTTATATAGCGCCAACAATTATTATTATTGTACAGGATTTATATAGCTCCAACAATTATTATTATTATTATACAGGATTTATATAGCGCCAACTGTTATTATTATTATTATACAGGATTTATATAGCGCCAACAATTATTATTATTATTATTATACAGGATTTATATAGCGCCAACAATTATTATTATTATTATACAGGATTTATATAGCGCCAACAATTATTATTATTATACAGGATTTATATAGCGCCGACAATTATTATTATTATTATTATACAGGATTTATATAGCGCCAACAATTATTATTATTATTGTACAGGATTTCTATAGCTCCATCAATTGTTGTTATTATACAGGATTTATATAGCGCCAACAATTATTATTATTGTACAGGATTTATATAGCGCCAACAATTATTATTATTATTATACAGGATTTATATAGCGTCAACAATTATTACTATTATACAGGATTTATATAGCTCCATCAATTATTATTATTATACAGGATTTATATGGCGCCAACAATTATTATTATTATTATACAGGATTTATATAGCTCCAACAATTATTATTATTATTATACAGGATTTATATAGTGCCAACAGTTTGCTCAGCGCTTTACAACATATAGGAAGACAATACGGCAACAATACAGTTCAATACAAGAGGGATAGGAGGGCCTGATCCTGGGAGCTTACAATCTAAGAGCTGCCCATTCCTCATTGGTTCTACAAGTTCCCAGATGACACTTGGAGGGTATAACTTGTTCAATGTAATTTGGCCGTAGTGCTAGATTATGAACGCCGCTGAAGCTGGGGAAGCCAGACTCCCACAACCACCAGGGAAAAAGGTGCAGGCTGCCCATGGCGCTCATCCGAAGCGATGCATGTATAAAAATCTAAGAAGCACCACCCTCCCATCCAGCCAATCCATAGTGCCTCAGCCCATGAGTCTGCCAAAGCCACACCCCCAATATTTTTAACCCCGCCCACCAAAGCTTAATCATAAGGTAGTCAATGTGATAACCAGATATCCATTTTCATTCCCAGATTATTAAAGTGGATTGAAGAAGGAGTACCCAACGACCCATTTCTGAACCCGGAGCTGATGAAGAATAATCCCTGGGTAGAAAGAGGAAAGTGCAGCATCCTGTGAGACTCAGACAACCGCCTCTGCCCCCCTCCCCCACCCAACTTTCATCTACTCTGAATGTAACTAGATTCTGATATTAGAGTCCAGATAGGCAGCTGAAGAGACCTATTTGATCACAATGCATTGCTCCAGCAGAACTTAACATATGCAGGAAGAGGGGGGGAGGGGGAATGCTGTCACCCCAGTTATCAGTCTCCCCCACCATAGCTTAGACTGTGGGGTGGCTCTGCTGTAATGAAGAGGTCTAATTTTATTATTTGTCATTTTAGATTTATAGGATGGCTAGGAAGCGTGGCAAAGAATTTGTTGTAGATTAAGGAGTCAGTTTACAGTGAAAGGGGCTTAGGTTAGAGGGGTAGGACACAGCTGCTTGTCACAGGGGTATGACAGCAATAATCTACACAGTCTCGGGCCAGAGCAATCCTGGGATGCTTCAATGACCCGGGGCGGCTGTCTCTACAGCGCCCCCCGACTGTACCTTCCAGGTTATGCACTATATTGAACATACTATGCTTTTCAGGTTATTGTCATTGTAATTATATACTCATGGGACTCGCAAGCCCCTCTTTATATCTTTATTTCTCCAAAGAGCTAAATGCAGAGAAATTGTAAAATGAATAAGATTCATATCTAATAAACTCTTGGTGCATTTTTCCTCTCCTGTCTGTGTCTATCCAATACTCCTGTGTTCAGTTATGTGTTGCAACTCAATGTAAGTGTGTGTGTAGATCACAAAGACCTGGGCACTAGGTACCCTGCACTGCCGCTGCGGGGGAGATTTACTAAAACTGGAAAGTGCAAAATCTGGTGCAGCTTTGCACAGAAAACAATCAGCTTCCAGGGATCAGGGTCTATTCTCACTAAAGAAACGCGTTCCAAATGCGTTTCAGTTCATTTTTTCCCCTTGTCCCTCAAATTAAATAGGGACATGTACGTTCCGGTGCATTTTTACTGCGTTTCAGTACAGTTCTGTGGAGCCTGTTCTACCTTTTTTTTTTTATCTGCATCCAAAACGCGCTGAAAATGCAAGCACTGATGTGAACTATGACATTGACAACCATATAACCTACTTTCTGTGAGTTTTGGATGCAGAAAAAAAGCAACTGAAATGCATGTAGTGTGAACTGGCCCTCATTGTCAAAGCTTAATTGAACGAGTTAGAACCTGGTGCAGTTGTGCTTTGTAGCCAATCATATTCTGAGTGCTCCAGTTTTAGTAAAGTGTTACTAAACCCAGGACCCTTCATTCGCTATCTCTGGTCTCCCACAGTGCACAGAAATGCAATTATTTAAAGTAAATGTAAATTTATAATTGCTATATACTGCTGATGCGAAAAGGTAGTCTTGTCACTTCTATCAGTGTCCAGCTGAGCACTGGTTAAAGCGTTTAAGAGTTTTCAGTCTGCTCTGACTGTCCGATGAGGCTGTATAACCCCTGACCCTGTCTAGACAGTGCTGATTGGCCTGTGCCAATCACCTGCACCCTCCCCCGCCCCACTGGTTAAAGCCAGTAGGAGTTTGCAGTCTGTTCTGACTGTCCGATGAGGCTGTATAACCCCTGACCCTGTCTAGACAGTGCTGATTGGCCTGTGCCAATCACCTGCACCCTCCCCCGCCCCACTGGTTAAAGCCAGTAGGAGTTTGCAGTCTGCTCTGACTGTCCAATGAGGCTGTATAACCCCTGACCCTTTGTCTAGACAGTGCTGATTGGCCTGTGCCAATCACCTGCACCCTCCCCCGCCCCACTGGTTAAAGCCAGTAGGAGTTTGCAGTCTGCTCTGACTGTCCGATGAGGCTGTATAACCCCTGACCCTGTCTAGACAGTGCTGATTGGCCTGTGCCAATCACCTGCACCCTCCCCCGCCCCACTGGTTAAAGCCAGTAGGAGTTTGCAGTCTGTTCTGACTGTACTATGAGGCCGCATAACCCCTGACCCTTTGTCTAGACAGTGCTGATTGGCCTGTGCCAATCACATGCACCCTACCCCACCGGTTTTAAAGCCAGTAGTAGGCGTTTTCAGTCTGCTCTGACTGTCCGATGAGGCTGTATAACCCCTGACCCTTTGTCTAGACAGTGCTGATTGGCCTGTGCCAATCACATGCACCCTACCCCACCAGTTAAAGCCAGTAGTAGGCGTTTTCAGTCTGCTTTGACTGTACTATGAGGCTGTATAACCCCTCGACCCTTTGTCTAGACAGTGCTGATTGGCCTGTGCCAATCACCTGCACCCTCCCCCGCCCCACTGGTTAAAGCCAGTAGGAGTTTGCAGTCTGCTCTGACTGTCCGATGAGGCTGTATAACCCCTGACCCTGTCTAGACAGTGCTGATTGGCCTGTGCCAATCACCTGCACCCTCCCCCGCCCCACTGGTTAAAGCCAGTAGGAGTTTGCAGTCTGTTCTGACTGTACTATGAGGCCGCATAACCCCTGACCCTTTGTCTAGACAGTGCTGATTGGCCTGTGCCAATCACATGCACCCTACCCCACCGGTTAAAGCCAGTAGTAGGCGTTTTCAGTCTGCTCTGACTGTCCGATGAGGCTGTATAACCCCTGACCCTTTGTCTAGACAGTGCTGATTGGCCTGTGCCAATCACATGCACCCTACCCCACCAGTTAAAGCCAGTAGTAGGCGTTTTCAGTCTGCTTTGACTGTACTATGAGGCTGCATAACCCCTGACCCTGTCTAGACAGTCCTGATTGGCCTGTGCCAATCACATGCACCCTACCCCACTGGTTAAAGCCAGTAGTAGGAGTTTTCAGTCTGCTCTGACTGTACTATGAGGCTGCATAACCCCTGACCCTCTGTCTAGACAGTGCTGATTGGCCCTGTGCAAATCAAATGTACTCTCCCAAGAAAAAAAAAAAAAAAACCTCTCCAGCCATACACACCAAACTGAGCATGTGCAGAGTGCCTCCTAGGGCACAGAACTATCAGTAAATGGATTGAGGACAGTAAAAAGGGAGGATCAGAGAAGACAGGATCAAACAGCCTTTTTACACAATGCAGAGGATTAACCTCTTTGGCTCCACAGTGAGTATAACAAGCATGCATTACTACATATACAGACTGATTTTACTGTTGCAAGTTAAGTAACACTTTGTCTCCTCCTCCTCTATGCCAAGCTACATGGGAGGACCAATGAAAGAGGGGAACATGACTCTTAGAAACGAAGCTGTAATAGCATGCACTAGCCATTCACAGGTCAGCTTTCTATAGAACGCTGCTAAAAATGATTAGTTTTGGACCTCTGCTCTGTGTTTACCGTCGAGATTAGTCAGTTTGAACACTGCTAACTGAACGCGTAGGGCCACATGCACACTGGGCATTTTGCTCATGTACATCCAATCCCAGCATTTTCATGCGTCTGGGAGGCAGCAGCTGCTGCCTGCCGCCTGTCAAAATCTATGAGAGGCTAAAAAATACACTGCATAAGTATTTACATTTAGGACCGTAAACATGAGTACCACTAGGTGCAGCATCCAGTTGTAGACTTTGCAGGTTGCAGGCAGTAGCACCCGTGCCTGCTGGGAGCACATGACCTAAATTGTCCAATGTGCAATAATGTTTATCGAGAGAGCGAAGTTCCACTTTGACTATTTTTTTTATCCTTATAGTTCCAGCATTAGTAAATAGATAGGACGGTATATTATATTTACTTGTTTTATTTATTTATTTTTTTCTTCCTTTACTTCCTTGTTTCCAGACCTAGCAAATGATGTCATACATCCCAGGAGTCTTCAGGCAGGATGGAGGGGTTTCCCCAGCCAAACACTCCCTCCTGCCTGCATGCCTGAGCTAAGGACAGATGGATTCCAGGAAGCAAATTCTACATGAACCCTCTGCTCTTAATCAAGATGGCCGGATCAAAAAATGCTAAGGGGGAGGGGGGGGGGGGGGGTCAGTGATTGCTCAGCAAAACAGAGCTTGGAGACATGGTTGGATGGGGAAGTTTGCTTTGAATATTAAAAAATGAATCAAATAGCATTTTTGGTGTGTGGTGCTCAGATGCTGTGCAGTTCCATTTTAAGCTTTGCAATTTGCACCACAGTGTCTGCAGCTGGAGGGGTCAGTGAGGGCTTGCTTTAAGGAATACCAAACGCTGTACACAAACAAGTTAAAGAGGTAATAAGCCATGTCCATTATTTATAGAAAAAAAAAACACAACAAAAGACCCTGCAAGGTAAAGACATAATGTGCTAGTATGCATCCCATACTAGCACATGATGTAAAACATACCTTAAAACAAAGCCCTCCAGCAGCACGCTGTCACCGCTGTAGAGGCTTCTTATCTTCACCCGGTCTTCCTTCCGGGTTCACGTGCTCCGTCCATCTGACTAGCTGGGCTGCGATGATGTCACTCCCGTGCATGCCCACGGAAGTCTCAGGACACAGCACAGTGCTCTGAAGGAACGGCACGGGTATGCTGTTCCTTCAGAGCACATGCGCCAGCTGCAAAAAAAAAAAAACAAAAAAAACAAAAAAAACTTGAAAATCTCCTAAACGGTGCATGTTTAGGAGATATTAATTTTACCTAAAAGGTAAACTTTATTATAAATATACAAATTGGGTTTACCATCACTTGGAGGGAAAGGACTAATCATCAGTACTACCTGTGGACTCCCTGGAGCAAATAATTTCCCAAGCACTGAATTCCCATGACCTGTTCTGCACTGTGTTTCTGTAAAATTGACCACCTTGGCAGAGAGAAGGCTTTGCTTCTTCATGTCAGATGACTGGTGTGGTAATGACCAAGAAGAAGCAGGAAAGGCAGAGGAAGCAAAGGTCCATAAAATGGAATAAGCAGAAGCAGGGAGATCCTGGCTTTAGAGATGCTCAGGAACAGCTTCCTCTTCAGCAAACAGCACAGGAGTGAAATCTCTAAATCTCTTGAGACCAGCAATCACTGGCAGCACTTCATCCTACATAGCAGATTTACATCTACAAGGGTTTTAGGGACAGGAGTGCCTAGTCAGAGTACATCAGTAAGTTCTATTTTACAGGGGG